TCCAGTTAAGTAATTTTATAGCTACAGGATCTGGCAGGTTGTTCTTGCCACACTTAAATGGGTACCCCAGGGTCTGGAGAGGTGGCTCAGTGGTTAAGAGCACTGATTGTTCTTGCAGAAGACTTGGGCTTGAATCCCAGCACCCACATGGCAGCTAACAACTGTCTGTAACTCCAGTTTCAGAGGATCCGATGCCCTCTTGCATCTTCCACAGGCACTGCATAACACAGGTATACTTATATACATGCAGACAATATACTCATACACATAAAAAATTAAAAAAAACAAAAATTTTAAATGGGTAGCCTTGAATAATTCTGGTAACATGGCTACCACTAGCCATAGGAATGAGAAGCCCTGATCAGCTGGAGAGGGCCTGGACTTTACCTTCAAGTCATGTGGAATGGTCACAGGTCAGTGATTTACTAATTTACTCGAGCACAGGATTATTTTCAATGAGTTAAAGATAGAATTTACTAACTCTTCAAAGGGCCTCTTGAAAGTACCTGGAAAAACTGGCACAAAGAAGAGGACCTCTAATTAACTGAGTACAACAGCATTAAATCCACATTTAATTTTCTTAATATCTTTACTTTGAAGACAGGTTTTAGAAAAAAAGGAATTACTGTATTTTGTTCATTTCTTGGAAAAAACTTGAAGGGTTAGTGATGATAATGAAAGTTTCAGGGGCCAAGGATCCAGCTCAGTTGATAGAGAGCTTATGTAGCATACATGAAGCCCTGATTTAGAACCCCAGCATGGAATAAACTGGGTGCAATGACCCAGGAATGTAATCCTAGTACTTTGAGGTGGAGTCAGGAGGATCAGAAGTTCAAGGTCATCCTTAGCTACACAGTCAGTCTGGGTTATAAGAAAGACCCTGTTTCAGAGAAAGAAAAGAAAAAAATTATATGTTTTGTTGTTAATTTGTATGTTAATTTCACAGGTTTCATGTTAATGGGCTAATTTTTTACATGTTTTCTCAGACATGGTAAGTAGTTTATGGTCTGAAATCATGTCAGAATCATACATTACATTTTTATTGTTATAAAAGGACATTAAATGTTAACAATAAAATAATAAAGACATCATCTTAACAGGTTTGTACTCATCCTCCCCACAGATGGTAAGATCCTGATGAGCAAATGTTTAAAGATGGTAAGGCCTGGGCTGAATGCCTTTTGATCAGAATGATAGCAGCTTTGTTTGGAGAAGGGAGGCAGCACTAGGCTCACCATCAATGGTTAGGCAGGAGCTCTTCCTTCTGCATAAGGACACCTGCATGACTCTCTCAACCATGACAAACATTTTATTTAAGCCTTGTCTTTTTTGTTTTCTTCCTTTCTAAAATTAAAAAAAAAAATGTGTTCCCCCCTAAGCCCTGTCTTTTCAAAGGAGCAGGGAAATATCTTTCCTTTCCTTCCCACTGCCAAAATTGCACTGATGAGAACAGGAGGTAGCGATTGGCTAGGCACTTTTAGGATAAAAAGACCCTGAAAAGTGACCAGTTTCTTTCTTGGCCAAAAGCCAGAAATATCCTTAGGCCTGTTGGCAGCCTTGTTCTTGCCCAAGGCCAGAGATGCCAGAAATGTTTAAGTCAGCATGTCTCTGGATTTACCCTGGCCAGAAGCCAAGGATACCAGAATGGGGATCTGGTTTTTCCTCAGCTCTTTCCCCTGAAGGCGTCGGCCTTTCCTGAAAACCATACTGAGCATATGGCTGAAACTGCCAGGCACCTGGACACATAAAATGTGAACTAGACTGACCAACTCATCCTCACTCCATTCCTCTATCCAGGAAAGCCTTCAGGCCAAGACCATGACCTTCAATGGTATCCCGTTCCTATGGCCCCCTCCTGCTATACAGGAGCTCTTTTTTCTTTCTTTTAAGCTGCCTATAATAAAATACTTCTTTCTAAAACTTACCCTCTGTGATCTGTGAATAACATTCTTCGAATTGTGAGACAGAAACCCAAAAGCCACTGGCTTGGGGTGGCTTTGGTGGACATTGACTTTCTGGACCCTACCTAGCCCCCTCAGTTAAACTCACCAAGAACCAAGAAAGGCTTCATTGTTCTCAAAGATATTCCAATATTCCTATATCATTTCATCATCTATAGTTATTTTTGTACCCCAAACTAGAAAACCACACTGCATACCTTAGCGACTGGGATTATTGGTAACAGCATGCAATGTACATAATACACATGATGTTTCTTTGTTAAAAAAAAAAAAACTGCTCCCTCTGTAGAACTCCCTATCCTGCTTTAGTGAGATTGTTCTTTACCATCTTAGCTGAAAGACTGTATGATCCTACCTTCTTTTCTCTCACTGTTCATATTCTGTTGGTCATGAAATCCTGGGTGTTTTATCCTGTTATTGGTTTCTGTAACTCCCCTCTTTTATTCATTTGGGAATTGTCCTGGAATATTGCAGCCATCACAGTATATAGTTTTTTGCAGTTTTCAACTTGCCTGTACTCTTTGCTTATTACCATTGTGGTGGCTAATCCTCACTGTCAACTTGACTAGATTTAGAATCACCTAGGAGGTACACTTCTGAACATATTTGTGAGGGTGTTTCCAGAGAGATCTAACTGAAGAGCAAAGGCAAACCCCGAATGAGCACAGCCCTATCTTGTTGGTTGGGGTTCCAGACTGAATAGAAAGGGAGAAAGGAGGAAGCTAGTTGAGTGTCAGCATTTATCTCCCTCTGCTTCCTGCTCTGCCCTGATGTCAGCAAGTTTCCACTGCCATGGCTGCTAGCTGCTCCTGCTGCATGCCTTCCCTGCCACGATGGACTGTATCCTCACATGGTAAGCAGAAGAATCCTTCCTCCCTTAAGTTGCTTCTTGTCAGGTACATGTCACTTGAGTAGTTCACAGATCTTTCTAGAATAAAGTTCTAATGGTGTTAAGCCCCTACCTGTAGCTTTTTCAGTGGTCTCCCCAGTCCCTGAAGGACATAGCATCATGTCATGTAATGACCTTGATGATCTACATGGCCTTTGTATGCAACATGTTCTTTCTTCCACAGGTGTTGTTTCAGCAGACCTGAAGTAGACTTTCCAGCATATCACAGCATACCTTGCCCTCCCATTCTATTGAAATCCTATTAAACTTTAGTACCCAGCTCAAATAGTTCCCCTTTTTTTCTGGATCAACCACATACCACCTCAACTTTGCCTTTCTGAATAGAATTAGTTATCCCTTCCTTAGTGATAACAGCAAACAGCATACATAGATCTACTAAAATTTGTTGGGCCTGTGAGATTGAGAAGGAATTAGGCCATTTCTTTCTTGAACATCCTCTGTCCACACCCGATTTGGTATATGGAAAGTGTTGCATAAATAAATGGTAGTTAGGTAAAAGGAAATCCAAGTTTATGCCAAGACATAGTATTTTTTTTTTTTGTCTTTTTGAGACAGGGTCTCTCTGTAGCCCTGGCTGGCCTGGAACTCACTATGTAGACCAAGCTGGCCTTGAACTCACAGAAATCCACCTGCCTCTGCCTCCCAAGTGCTGGGGATTAAAGGCATGTGCCATCATACCTGGCTTGACATAGTATCGTTTTTTTAGAAAAAACATTTTGTGGCTGTGTGTGGTATGTGTGTATATGTTTATGTGTGTGCACCTGTGTGTGAAGCAGAGGCTGGGTGTCTTCCTCAGCTGTTCTCTATCTTATTTATTGAGATAGGGTCTCTAACTTAACCTGGAGCTTGTGGATTCAGTTGGTTTAGCTGGCCATCAAGCTCCAGGAATGCTCCCATCTCTACCTTCTCGGCACTAGGATTATAGGGGTCCATGCTGTGCCTGGCTTTTTACATGGGTGCTTGGGATCAAAACTCAGGTCCTCATGCTTGTGCAGAGAGTCCTCAGTTGACTGAGCCAATGCCCCAGCCCTAATATTGTAGTTTTGGCTGACCAAGATCTGCCTGCCTCTGTCTTATTGTATTTATTTACTTAGTTACTTACTTTAAGACAGGGTCTACCTGTAGCCCTAGTACATGGCCAGGAACTTGCTATGTAGCCTAGGCTGGCCTTGATTTCACAGCGATCCACCTGCCTCTGCCTCCTGAGTGCTAGGATTAAAGGCATGTACCACCATGCCTGGCTTTTTTGTTTTAAAAGGCAACTTTTATGGCTTATTTTTTGCTTTTAAAAATACTGCTCAACCATTGTAAAAGAAATCTGGGAGAGCTACAGAGTGCATGGTTTAGTGCTTATCAATCTGAATATAAATCCCATTTATGGCTTACTTTTGAGGCTCTCACTGACTCCTTTTTTCTTGCCTCCAGATTTTCTGGGCCGGGGTGGTGGTACTTGCCTTAAATCCCAGCAGTTAGGAGGCAGAGGAAGGATCTCTGTAAGTGTGAGGTTGACCTGGTCTACATAGTGAGTTCCAGGCCAGGCATGCTATATAGTGAGATCCTGACTGAAAAACAAAACAAAATCCCTAGAGAGGTATATTTGGTGTTCCAAAATGGGTCTACAGTTGCTTGTTAGAGACAGGATTTTAAAAAATGGAACTCATATTCAGCTTTTGCCCTTGCAAGTGCCACTGAGATCCCAGTCAAGGTGGCAGCAGTTTCCAAGCTGCAGCCTCTGTGATGTTGGAGGTTAGTTGTTATTTCTCAGAGCTAGGAACAGTTTGTAACAGCACTGAGGGTGCAGATGTATGACTGCCAACTTGAGCTGAGTTCAAATTTATAGCTAGGAGACTCCTGACTCACCCTCTATTACAAAAGAAAAATAATCTTTATGATGGAGCAAAAAAGATCCTGAAGTCAGGCCCACAGGCGTGAGATGGCTCAGTGGGTAAAAGTGCTTGCTGCTAAACATGACGACCTGAGTTCGATCTCTGGGACCCACACTGAAGAAGAGAACTGACTCCCACAAGTTGTCTTCTGACCTCCATATGTGCACTGTGGCATTTGCCTGCTCACACAATACACATATACACGAAAAACAGAAATAAATGTAATTAAAAACTTTTTAAAAGGATCTTGAAGTAGTCACTTTATTAACAATTACAAATTTTAACGGTTTATGATAAAACATATCAACATTGCACAAATGTGTGGAAACAATTCTACAACTGGGAGGACATCTCAGTTTTGTTTATTTTGCTGACATCTTCCCAACCACATCTAATCTTCAGTATCCTCTTCCTCAAGCAGGGCAGGAGCAGTATGATTTTACATACCAGGACAACAATTGGAAGGAAAATAGCTATCATGAAAGTCGGAGGCATACACCATACAAATTGTTTGATATCTACCCATTTATTCCAGGCAAAAATCAAAGCGTGCACTGTACCCAGAAGAAGGGACATGATTCCTAGCTTGCTCTGCAAAAGAAAAGACATTATTACCTAAGTAAAGGTTGGTTCGATAAGAGTTGATTCCACCCTAGCCTATTAGGATCTGCTCTGTTGTTTGGAAATTCTTTCATTTATCCCTGATTATTTTCCCAACACATTTCTTGACAATTCCCATTCATACCTTTCTGGTCTTTCTATATGTTGCCCTTACCACGTTACTTTGGGATAATGTTCTTATCTCTGAGGTAAGTTGGACAAATTCATAACCTTTCTTTAAGTCTCAAGTGATCAACAGCCCTATCTGTCCTCTCTCTGTCATTCTGTTTATCTTTCTTAAAGACATTTAAAATTTTTTTTGTTTTATTGGTGGTTCTAGGCATCAAATCCAGGCCCTTGTGCATGCTAGCCGAGCACTCTACCACTGATATACATTTCAGTCTCCTTAAGACATTTATATTATGGTACTTCATGTCCTTCGATTTTACTTAACTTTGTCTATAAAGCAATATTTAAAATCACACAAAGTCTTATCACAGGATCCTGCAGAAGTAACATGATGTGGACATATTAGGTGCTCAATGAATACTGGTGGATAGACTGAAAAATACTGCAAAAATCAATCTGACCTCAGTAATCTTCATCAACTGTGAAAGCAGCTTATGTCACTCTGATTTTTGTAAGTGAATATGAAGGTGAATGGACTTGGACTATGCTTTTAAAATATCTGACATTCTGCTAGCCATGGTGGTACATGCCTTTAATCCCAGCACTCAGGAGGGGAGGCAAAGGCAGGCAGATCTCTGTGAGACCGAGGCCAGCCTGGTCTACATATTGAATTCTAGGCCAGCTGAGCTATAGGGAGACCCTGTCTCAAAAACAAACAAACAATCCCCCCAAACCAAAAGACTACCCGCCCCCGAAAATCTGACATTCTGATCAAATGGAAAACTATTGGCAATTATTTCAGTCTTTGAACACAATATATGTAGAGATGTGAAGAAAAATTCCAACTTGTGTTGGAATGCTTTAGCATATTGTGGATAAATCTGCTTACAAATGTTGTTCACCTAAATAATTTTATGACATTCTGACAACAGCTCTTCTAAATAGCTTCTCACTTTTATTCATTTTATTGCAAATGGTCATTAGCCTGCCAAAACAAATATAACTCATAATCATTCAGCTGTACTCTTAAGCCTCGGTGGATACAATTAAATAGATAAGTTTGTAGTTTTCAGATATGAAAAGTTTCTAGGTCATTGGCTGAAAAATACTCGTGGTTGGTTGAAGATTAGTTTTATCAAATGTGTATTATATATTTTTTTTATGGATTATGTGTTGCATAGACAGTGGGGCAGACTCTGTTGTCAAAATGTAGTGCTGTATCCCTGATTAAATATGAAAAGTGCTGTTCAGAATATGTGACAGACAAAGCAATGGAAGAAAATATTTTAGGAGGAACAGAGGATTCCAGTAGTTACCAGACTGAATGCAGAAAACTAGAAAATACTGTGCTGGAATGTGGTACCATTTCTAAGCCATGCTGAAATAATACAGGGGAAAGAGACTTTCCAGCCTACTCAGCTGCTCTGTTGTCTGTTGTGGCTACACATGGACATGTAGAAAGGACAGTGGGGGATGCCTCACTGTGTGGAAATTTTCAAAGCTATTCACTCACAAAAGACTGTGTGATTAAAAAAAAAAGCAGTACTTATGACAACATTAAATTTTCTTTGGCTCTTGTCAGAAACGGGTGCCTTTCTGAATTCTGGCAAACTTCTCTTTTTAACTGTGATCTCCCACTAGAAAATAAACTGATTAAGTTTTCAACTAGATTTTGAATTCCAAAAATACTTAGAAACCTCAAGCGATTAAGCTGCTTAAAATGTAACTTAGAAAAAGCAGCTTTCAACATTATATGTCAGAGCTGGGCATGGTGGTTCATGCTTAAAATCTTTAGCACTTAGGAGGTTGAGGCAGGAGGACTGTCCCAAGTTCAAGGCCAATCTGCATTACACAATGAATTTGAGGCTGGATTAGGCTACAAGTATGATACTGCCTCAAAAAGTACAAAACTGTGTAACTTAATAGTTACTTGACTGAAGTCAAGGGATAGGTAAAATAATATTTTTATTTTTGGCAGAGCTACTAAACCATTGAGATTCCTAAAATATCACATTTATAGCTATTAGATGGGAGCAGCAAATTGTCTAACAAACAAGCAAGCTTCAAATGTGTGGAACAACACTTTTGTTTTAGTAATGTCTCTAATTTATGTCTACAAAATGTATCCTATGTATGGCATCTTTTTTTTCCTTTTCGGTCTTTTTGAGACAGGATCCCCCCATAGCTGCCTGGAACTCACTATGTTCCAGCTCAGGATGGTATCCTTACTATTGGAAAACACTCATTTTTATGGGGCAAAATCAATATACTTGATATTATAAGCAGACTAGAATTATTTTGTATATCATTTACCTGAATATACTGAAATTCTCTCCATGTCAGAGAGTCACTCACAGAGGGAATAGATGTCACAGCCAAGAGGGCCAGTATGGCAAGTCCTATAATCCCCAGGGACACATAAATTTCCATTCTCCAAACGTCATGTTCAATCCAAGCATCTGTTTTGTTTTGTTGGACCTAGAGAAAAGAGGAATGCAAACCACACTTACCAAGTTTTAATTATATAAAATTATTTGATGGTTTACTAGGATAGAGCTGAAAAAATGCATGCAACCCAAGAAGATAAAGACAGTTGGTTTCACAAAGTAACACTGTAGGATGGTAAGATGAGAACATGGCTTTCTCTATGAATTGTTAAAGTTGTCCTTTACAGCCAGGCATGGTAGTGTATGCCTTTAATCCCAGTACTTGGGAGGCAGAGGCAGGCAGATTTCTGTGAGATGGAGGTCAGCCTGGTCTACATAGGGAGTTCCAGGCCAGCTGGAGCTACAGAAGAGACCATCTCAAAAACACTCCAAAAAACCAAAAACCAAAAACCAAAAAAGTTGTTCCTTATTTTCAATTAAAAAAATTCCTTAATGCAAAATGACAAGCACATCCCAATGTAAGTATGTAAGTATATATGTGTGTGTGTGTGTGTGTGTGTGAGAGAGAGAGAGAGACAGATGAAGGGAAGGAGGGAGGGAGGGAGTGAGGGAGGGAGGGAGAGAGAGAGAGAGAGAGAGAGAAGAGAGAGAGAGAGAGAGAGAGAGAGAGAGAGAGAGAGAAAGAGAGAGCCTGTAGCCCCAGCTGGCCTGGAACTTGCTATGTAGACCAGGCTATCCTGTATCTCACATAGATCTGCTTGCCTCTGCCTCTGGAGTGCTGGGATTAAAAGTGTGTACCACAACACCTGGAGATAAAATTTTTTTTAGATGCAGATTACATTCTCAACATCAAGTGTCAACAGGGGTCTGGAATATTGCTATTACAATGAGAAAGGATGGATCTGTTAAGTGGCTTAGACCTTTTAGTTTACATATCATCATCCTACCTGTTGGTATGCCCAGTTTAGCAACTTGTATCTGTAGGATCGCCTCATTGGATAAGACAGACTATAAACTGCATGTAGCACAGCAAAAAAGAAACTGAGGAGCCCAAACTGCTTCCTTGTCAGCATCCACCTGTCTAACCACGGTGGGAATTTCTTATACTTGGTTCCATTCTGAAGCTGTACAACTGCTGCGATCACTCCTGGCAAATACACCAGTGCCAAGAGGGTAATGGAGACCATTGGCAAGACTTTGTTGATGACCAGAATTGGAATTTTATAAAAATACAATTGATGGGAAGTTACTAAAGGGAAAATGATTTCCCTCAGGAGAGTGTACAGGAAAGTCAGAGATGATACTATAGCAGCTATTTTCATTGGCAAGCGCCAATTTGGAAAGAGCTCCTGTGTGCGCTGGAACTCTGAGGGGCAGTCAAATGCATCATAGTGGGCTGTGTGCTGCAAAGGCAAGGGCCCAGGTCTTTTCAGCATGCTAGTCTCTCCTATGTCCTTAGTCTGCAAAAGAAATAAAAGAAACTTCATTATGGATCCTTATATTTACAGACAAGCATACTGTACACCATTCATCAAAGAAGCTTCTTTTTACAAAGATGAAGGCTACTGCAATATTCCACAACTGATTGAATACAGAGACTATATGTCTGAGAGATGCCCAGTCAGTCCTAGGTGACACGTCTACAGTTGAACCTCTACACCTAAGGCTCGTGGAACATAGCAGAATGAGGGATAGAGAGAAAACTAATGCATCCCTCAACTCTCATCAGTGAAGCCTCCTTATACAACATAGTGCGATGCACACAGAAGGCCACAACTGGCCAAGTTTTCAAGAATAAGAGACTACAGAGTGTGTTGTCTCTGGATGAGACCAGAGATAACACACTCTTATATTAAACCTCACCCACCCATGGCTCAGGGACCATTTCAGAAGAGGGAGTCGAAAGATTGTAAGAGCCAGGGCTGGTTCATGAACACAGGGAAGCAGAGGCTTTCAGACCACTGGAAGCTTGCACATGTGAACTTGTGGCAATGGTGGCATCTAGCACAGAACCCATGCCAACTCAATCAGGCAAGGGCCCAGAGTAGAGTGAGAGAAATGGCTGGCAGTCTGGCTCTAGGCTGAGAACAATTGGAGACTAATTACTGCTGGGTCAGGGAGAGTATGCCTTGCTTACGATCTCTGGATGGGCTGACTAGACTCCATGGATGAATGTGCACTGAGGGACATCTGGGTACAGATGCTTGACTGGATAGGACTTAACACGTATGGCAGAATGCATGAGGTCTGCGCAGGGTGGCATGGATGGGAGGGGGTCTAAATTTGATTAAGAACTTGTATAAAATGTACAAAAGCTCCATAAAAAATTTAAAAATTGAAAAACAAAAACCTGGATAAAAAGCTGGATTTCTCTTACTACACTTCTTGCTCCATCATTATGTTCAGTATAGCTAAAGACAGTATAGTTTATGTAGAACTGACCAAAAGTACACCTAGTAATACTGGTGTTCTCCATTTGTTTAGCTATTTGTTTGCGACAGGGTCTCAAGTAGCGCAGGCTGACCTTGAACTTCCTACCCAGCTTCCTACCTTCCTGATCTTCCTGCTTTTACCTAAGTACAGGATTTTATGAGTATGTGCCACCATGTTGGGCTCTATTTGTCATTTCCACAGTGAGAAACAGAAATTTTTTTAAATTCATAATAAGATTCTTAGAGTGTTTCATGGTGTGTTCCTTTATGAATAATGGCTTCTCACTTCTTAGGCTATTGCTCATTTTTATAGCTCTAATAAGGAACCAGAAGATTTTATCGCTTGTCATGATGTTAGTGATTATCTTGTTCATCTCGGTTTATGCAGGGTAACTTTAATTCCCACAGTCCTCTATAATTACTGGTGCTTAAAAATGACCTCTCTTGCTAGCTGAATTTTCCTTTGAGTAATAAATCACTGTCCTCACCAGTGCTTTTTCTAATTACTCTGTGTACAAAGGAAATGGCTCTTGCCATTTCTGCATGTTAACACGGTCCAAGTACAATCAGCTGAGAACAATTTTCTGGTTAACAGTGAAGAATTATGGAACAGCAAGTAAGATAGTAAACTTGAAAAATGAAGATGATTTTTTTTATGAAGTAGTATTGTAGGTTATATTCTTATAATTCTTAATTCTCTTTCCTTCTAAATAACTAAGAAATAAATAATTTTTGTTAAAATTGCATTCGAAATAACTTTAAAAGGTAAATATTTGGAACCAAAAATATCTGCCATTTTCTTTTCAGTCAAATAATGTAACAAGAAATATATAATACTGCGGCTGACAAAAGTGGGGCAAATGATTCTTTGCCCAAAGAGAAGTTAGTTAAACAGTGAGTCATAAACTTACTTGGCGACCCTCACTAAGCTGCCACAGTGCCTAAGAAAAACATGCCTACTTACAAAACTGCTGTTCTACAGACTTTGAAACTTTTGTTTTTAAACTCAGAACCACAGGTGTTAGAAAGAACTGGAAGGATTTTGGAGACGATCTTGTCCATTCATTTCACTTTATAGAGAAATTCTAAGATCCAGGATTTTCAGGGACTTAATCAAGGTTGTTAAGCTAAGCCCTCAATAATCATAGTTCTCACATCATCCATACCTCACTTCCCCTCATCCATGTCTACTTCAGTGACAGGAATTTGAGAGTAAAGACCAGCAAACTTAGTGGAAAACACTTTTACAATACTAGTAGGTTTAGAAGGCATTTGAATTATTTATAAATTTTAATTATTTAACTATTATATTTTTTATTTTACCGAATAATTGTCATCTTCTAGATTTCTCTTAGAATTCATTTTCCAAAGTTCTTCTTGGTTTGTAATATCTTTACTGATCTCCATGAAGGCGATAAAATATATGGCTTCAAGCCACCTAGAAAAGTAAAAACAATGATCTTCAAATCTGCTCTATTTATAATGCTACTAATTGGTGAGACAATATGAAATAGTTTCTCCCTTGAAGACTAGAGATGCAATTTAGAGATTCTCAAACCACTGCACTAATTTCAACAGGAATTGTTCTTCCTTATCCAACTATTTGTTTAATGAAGGATCCACGTCTATATGAAACACTAGAGTCAGATACTGCTTTTTACTTCAGGAAGGTGTAACTCCAGGTTCTCATTTAGAGGAACGCCAAGTCCCCTTAAAGGCAAATAGAATGAGAACTGCAGTTTTTATTTTGCGTAACGATGCTATCAATGGAGGTTGGAGGTGGCTGATAGAGAACTATACTCCAGGAAGTTATATATTTCATAGATGTCTGGGATTGGTACTGGAATCTGAAACAATAACTGATGTGTATGGTGAAATGTTTCTGAAGACAATGAACAGAATAGCACAGTTAGTAAGGTGAACCCTGGTGGTAACTTCAAGGACCAAAAGTCTGCATCTTCAGAATGCCATTCTCCTCCCTGTGGAGTAATGGACCAGTCTTAGTTGGTAAGACATAGATTGCTCATGTATTTCTAATAGGGTGCTGAGCTGTGCTCAGTCACTGACACAATTGCTTCCTTAGCCAACCCTGTGGAAAAGAATCTTGCCCAAATTTTTCCCAAACAAAGAAAGCATTTCCTTAATGGCTTTCATAAAGCCTAATCCAGGCTCTGCATAACTCTTTTAGGCAGGAGAAACATGATGTCATTTTATTCACTGTTTTTAATTAACTCTAAATTTAGTTCTTGAGGATTATACTTGCAATTTGTATTTTGTGAAATTCAAAGTGAAAAACAAGTTAAATGCACCATAGTTAGGTTGGTGGAAAACATTCAAAATGTTTTGGAATATTAGATCAGCTGTAATACCATATTAAGTGGAAAATTATTACTGGGAATAGGCTATAATCCTTAAAAAAAAACTTTCCAAGTTTTAAAGGTTAACACTTACATTCAGGATGAGGAATAAAGGTTGATCATCCCTTATCTGATAATTTAAAATCTGAAATGCTTCAAAGTGAAGAATTTTTGAGGGCTGACACAACACAGGGGGGAAATTTCACACATGACCTCATGTGAAGGGTTGAAGTGAACTTAGAGGTGCAATAAGTATATTACATAAAATCATCTTCAGGCCAAGTATATGTATAGGAAGTGAATATGAAATCTGATTTTCATGTTTAGACTTGGTCCTATCCTCAAGAAGCTTCTTATGCTTATGCAAATATTACAAAAATTCTCCAACACGAGATATTTCTGGGCCTAAGCATTTTTTTGGATAAAAGATGGGCATTTGTATTTATTGTTTTGGTTTGCCCACACATTTTTCCCATTTTTTCCAATTTTCAATATTTCTCCATTTGGAGAAATTCCCTTCTTTCATCTATTGACTATAGTAACACCCATCCTCTGATTGGAGAAACAGGCTTATGACAGAGGCTTAGCCAGTCAAAGTGTGTATTCCTGAGATCACACATAGGGATGAGAGTTAAACCTAGTTGGCAAGCCGAGTGTGGTGCTGCATGCCTTTAATCCCAGCGCTCACTCGGGAGGCAGAGGCAGGTGGATCTCTGTGAGTTCAAGGCCAGCCTGGTCTACATAGGGAGTTCCAGGCCTGCTGGAGCTACAGGGAGACCCTATCTCAAAAAGACCAAAACAACAACAACAAACAAAAAACAACGTAGTTGGCCAATGATAGTCCACCTTCAGTATTTTTATCCAGAAGTGATAGAAAAGAAAGAGACACTATTTACATTTTGTTAAGGTGGTACAAAACTACCATGACACCCCATGTGTAAGTAGGAAGATGTCTTCATTTGACCAGAAGACAACACAGAAAAGCAGCAGAAGAAATAAAGACAGAGATAAGTCCTGGTGGCAATATTTTTAATATTTCAAGTGTAGCTCCTGAATTTCTCAATCACATAGTTAACCTTTCCTTTTTTTAATCTTTAAATTTTTTTTGAAATTGGTTTTGTCTGTGTTTGAGTTGAGTGTCAACTACTGGTATTTGAAAGAATTCTTGGTAGAGTATATGCCAATCATCAAACACTTAAGAAGGCATTTCTACACAGACACTAAAATGGAAAAAGAGAAATAAGACTTCATGCCTGTCCTGATGGGCTTACAGCCTGCCCTCAGGAAGTATCAGTTAATGCCATTTGGTGATTTTAGCCAATATTAGAAGAAGAATAATTTGGGAGCACTGTGAATAAGATATCATCTAGTATAACCAAAAACAAGAAATAACTTACTATGATTAGAGCATGTTTTCACTCAGGCGGGTTCAGTATGGTAAAGATAGTAACATATACACATATACTTGATCATTATTAATTCATTAACTGTGAACAATGATGTGAGACAAAGGAAATACAAAGTAAATGAGATAAATCTCTGTCCTCACAAACCTTGCCATCTAGGAGATGCAGCAAACACTCCAACAATAATTGTGAGGTCATGTGATGTATGTATCTTAAAGGAGGGGGCAGTTTACAGGCAGATGGTGGCTTGGGGAGGGAAGCAGAGAAAAAAGGAAGAGAGCTGTCTTCTATACCTCATCTAGGGACCTCCAGCAAGTTGTCAGTGTTTGCTGACAGAGAGTTACTTTGTGGAGATTCTGGTTGGAAAACCAGAGTGGCCCTGGAGAGATGCCCAGCCATTTGTTGCATGGTACCATGCTGAGGAGTGAGGCCAAGAAAAAGCCCATATTAGTAAGGGTGACTGTGGACTGTGTGCCCAGAAGCCAGAAAAATAAAGTATCAGTCAAACAAAATATGTTGGTTTCCATCAGACATTAACTAAATATATAGTTGAAGTTTAACAGTAAAAAAAGTGTTCAAAAAACCAACAAGCAAACCTAAAAGGAAACACCATAGTGCTAGTAAGTCAAGAACTCCAGAATTTGACACAACATTCGACAACTGACAACATTCTTCCCCATTAAAAAGTGGGGCATACAGTCTGATGTGATTTCTGTTTTGCTGCAGCGGGATGCTGGCTTGGCGTTCCTATTAAATATTGACACAGCCCAACTGACTCATGTTTATGGCCAAGAGTTTAGAATTAAAGAAACCCAATGACTGGAATACACTGTGGGTTACAGTGCACTTCCAAATCTTCAGGACCTCCAAGTGTACTTTAGCTTTGCCACATTTAATTATGGGTAGAGGAAATAGTTTTCTTCACTGTGCTGTTTCTTGAAAGCATTGCTCCGTTGGCCCCCTCCCCACTAACATTCATGCGAAATGACTTTTCACTAAATACCAAGATACGGGGAACACACAGCACAAACACACACCTCAAACAAGCTGAAGAGAGTAATGAATTTGGAAGTGTACTCAAATTCTATCTCTACGAATCTCTGCCAGTTGCTTTTACCAGAGTGACTTACTGATTTGGAGGGAACCTGAATCTCACTCAGATGCTGAAAGAGTAGGATCAGTGTTCCAAGGCCTTAACATGAAAATTTCCCTTACTAGAAAACCAGAAGACCAAGTTGCAGAATCTTGTTATCAGGTATCCGTCATTTATCAAGCCACGCAACTTGAGGCGACTTTGCCAAGTTGGAACACTTGCCATCGGAAGCCAACCTGGCTGCAAACTAGACCACGCACCAGACCTTACTAAGCCCCTAGGCAGAGGCCTCCCGGGTCCCCACTCCAGGCCGCGGCACAGTGCAGCGGGGCCAAAGGGGCGCACGGAGCAGCGCTGCCCCGAACGTACGCATGCGACCCGCCGCAGCCCTCCCTAGGCCCCGGACCCGCTTCGCAGGGCACGCGGAGGGGGCCGCCAGCCGCCCGCGAACGACCTAGCGACTCACCCGCTTTGCCGTTGGGACCCGATGGCGCGGCCGTGGCGGTGTCCGGAGGTCCCAGCCCCACGCGGAGCTCCAGCCTGGCACCGCAGCGCATAGCCCGCCCCGCGGATCCCGCCCCTAGGCCGCCGCGAGGACAGCGCCCCCTGCCGGCAGCGGGCCTCCTGCTTACCTGCACAGGCTGCAAGTGCTGCTTATAGGCATCATCCTGAAGTGTGCATCTTTTCAGAGCAGTGCTTCTATTCAGATGTGCGTGCCGGAATCACCTGGAGGACTCCCAGGAAAGCGACTGCTGGGACACGCTCCTTTCGGGGTTCAATAGGTCTGGGATGGAATCTGGAGTTCTGCATTTTGCCTGTTCCCGGGCGATATTGAAGCGATCCTGAACTGAGAGCCTGGAGACAAACTGCTTTGGACCTATTAATTAGTCCATCCTCAATTTAGCGTACTTTAAACCTAGCAGTTTATCTGTAAACTAGCTGTTGTTTACAATTAAGGAATATGACTCTTGTGTTTGAGTAACTTTCACTCGGAATTTACTCCTTACCTTCTCCCCTCATCTATTAACCGCAGCTTCCTGGATCAGTCAAGTATTCCAAACCCCAAAGAAGGTTACCATCAATGTTTGAAAGTTTCAGAAAGAAAAAATGTCAGCGGGGGATGTATTCCTCTGAGATGGAAGCCGATTCATGGCAGACGGTCTGAAACCTCAGTTGCAACATGTGGGGATTTTGTGCACCGCATTCCCAGAACTAGTCTGATTAGAAAATGTGAAGTAAAGTAACAATCACGTTTTCCGCGGTTATCTTTTACTCATAGAGCACCAAACACTGCATGTTATAATACCGTATGTATAGGTTTTCGTAGTCGCTGACTTTCCTCAGGTAATGTTAAAGGCCTTTGAAGATTAAATTATTATGGGCTGACACCTTGTGGTAGAAATAGAATCTTGCGTCTTTTATTTCTAATAAATATAGAAAAAGTTTTAGAAAAAAACTGTGGGTTTTAAATGCATGGATTAAAATAATTAAGGCAAATAAATCTGTATAAGTATGTTGCATTTTTGTTTGGGTTTTTTTTTTTTTTGTTTTGCTTTTAAGGCAGGCTCTCCCTGTAGCCTCAGCTGGCCTGATCAGGCTGGCCCCAATGTCTTAGAGATCCGTCTGCCTCTGCCTCCCCAGTGGAGTGCTGGAATTAAAGGCGTACACAATCACGCCCGACACATATTACCTTACAATTTTTAAAATTACATTTGTTTATTTGTTGTATGTATGTATGTGTGGGCCAGTGTATGACTTGGGACTCAGTTGTCTCCTTCCCTGCGTTTGGGTAAGCCATGAAGAAAAGTCTGTGTGTTGGAAATATGATGCCGTATGGGTCTTGGAGACTGAACTCAGGTTGTCGTGCTTGGCAGCAAATGCTGAGTCATGTCTGTGGGCTTGAGTCAGGGTCTCTTGTGCACCGCATACACAAGGCCAGTAAGCCCTCGAGCTTCTTGGGGCTCCACCCCCTGTCACCCTATAGGAGCACTGGGATTACGGATGAACACACTACCCTATCTGGCTTTTATGTGGGTCATGGGGATTCAAACTTAGGCCCTCAAGCTTTCATGACAATCTCTTTACTCACTGAGCTGTCTCTCTACTTTCCCCCATCTAGCATGTTCTATTTTAAGGGTGATCATTGGTCTTAAACACCAAAGTTTTCATTCTTCAGGATTTGTTAAAATAAAAACATTCTCTTTTTCATAATCTCTTTTCCATACGAAGAAGGCAAGATGTTATTAAGATTGGCTAATTTTAGGAAGTGCCATTAAAATTGATTTTGCTATTTTAATAATTTAAAAATCAAGCATTTTGTTTTATAATTGGGTTTCAATAATTTTACTTCTGCATTTCTTCATGAAAAATCTCTTTGCTAAATGTTTTTGAGTGGTAAATAAAAGTAAAGTGGCTCCAAAGTAAAATGACTGAAAATGTGACTTGTTTTCTAGCTGTAGATATTACAGAAGCGAAACAATATTAAATTAAGAAAACCATGAGGCCAAAAGAACTTTTGTTAAGTTGTGAGGAGTTAATATCCAAGGTGAAATACCTGTAACTTCTGCATACAAATGACCTGCGTTTGGGTAAGCCATGAAGAAAAGTTTGCACGTTGGAAATGCAATGCCAGCATATTTCAAGATGCTCTGCGTCAACCTCTTAACACAGACTTTTCCAATCCAGACTTTTGCATGTAAAGCAATGTTATGCAATTGCAAATGTTGAAAAACAGATTGCTAGTTTCACTATGACTCATGAAAACTAGAGATTTAAGGTGAGGATTCAATTATGGGCTACAAACACATTTAGATAATGCAGAACAGTTTGCTGCATTCTTTTTTTAAATAATATTTTTTAGAGAAGGTTTTAAAAATTTTAATTATTATTTTTATTTTACGTGTATGACTGTATTGCCTGGATGTAGGTAAGTGCACTCACGTTGCGCAATACCTGTGGAGGTCAGAAGAGGGCATCGGAGCCCTGGAACTGGAGTTACAGATGGTTGCTAGCTGCCATGTGGGTGGTGGGAATCGAATCTGTGTCCTCTGCAAGAACGGTCAGTGCTTTTAACTGCTCCAGTTTGCTATATTCTTAAAACTATAGCATGTTAACAGAACAGAGTTTTCTTATTTAGGGTCAAATACTAAATGACTTGTAGTGACTTTAACATATTAAAGAGAAAATAGAATAATTTATAATCTATGAGTAGAATACAATAACTAATCTGTTCTTAGAACTTATGACTGCCATTTTAGAAGTAAATAGAGCAATATGGTGTGAAATATAAAGTAGAAAAGATTCTGCTACAAGAATAATTATGATGAAGGGAGGGAGAATACACAAAGTGAGGTAGAATTTGATCATGCCTTTAATTCCAGCACTCAGGAGGCAGGGGCAGGAGTTCAAGGCTGGCCTGTTCTACATAGTGTATTCCAGGCCAGCTGAGGCTACAGGAAGACCATTTGTCAAAAACACCAAAGGGGGAAAAAAAAAGACAAATCCGTATTTGCTTTCTCTCATTTTTGATGCGTTACTTAGTAATTATATTTTGGCATTCATATTCACTCTGCTATAGGTGGCACCTGTTCATCTCCATGCATTTTTGCTTGCTCGGGGCTATTGCATTCCTTAGAAAGAATTATTTATGCACAGCAACACAGAGCGCGTCTCAGCCACTTTTCTGGTTTCTCACTGCACCTTGGACTCCTGCTTCCTCTTCCCTTAACACAAAAATACCGAAGCTCTAAGCCCATTACTTGAATCTATTAATAAGTTCTTATTTTTATTACACAGTATTGTGCTAAAATCTAGACACTCAAACAGTTACTTAGAAGATTCTTGCTAAGAAATTGCACTTTGAAGACCACTATCTGTAATAAAAGCACTAGCAAATAAAAAGGTAGCAGAACAGCCACTTTTCAAATGCTAGGTTTAATCTTTTTATTAGCTTCATTATAACTTTTGGAAGCCATTAAAAATCCATTTGAAATGTGGATTTATGTTCAGCATATTAAAGACGAATCTCCCCCCCTAAAAAAATAAAACAAAAAAAAAAACCAACACAAAAAGACAAATCCCACCTCACTGTTTTGAGATATTAGCCAATGATTGTATATATTTACACACACACACACATATATATATATATATACACATATATATACATTATATATGTATGTATATAATGTATTTATAAATATTTGAGGAATGAAAAACGTGGACAGGGCATGTGGTTAAAACTGGAAAGAATTTTGTTAAAGAGAAAAGAAAACAGAGAACAACCCGTTTCTTTGCTCTTTCCTCGCCTTAGATTCACCTACCCTGATGGAAAGCCAGACTGCAGTGCACCAGGAGGAATTGGGGAAGGACAGCGAGGATTCAGCATGGACTTTCAGTAAACAAGAAAGGGGGAAAGAAAGAAGAAAGGAGATAATGGGGACAACGGTGGAATAATAGTTTTGTAAGGTTGAAGGATCAGATTCTCCTTATAGACTGAGAGGAACACTGTGATAAATAGATTCAAGATGGAAGGAAAAGAAAATAATTAACGAAGTGAGGGTACCAGAGAAAGGTGAACAGTGGTGAAATCCATACCATAGCAGAAAGATGATGATGAGATGATGATTTTATTATTATTTGAGACAGGGTCTCACTGTGTAGCCCTGGCTGACCTGGAACTCACGGTGTAAATCAGGATAGCCTCAGGCTCACAAAGATCTCACAAAGGGCTGGAGAGATGGTTCAGCAGTTAAGAGCATATAGTGCCCTTGCAAAGGACCCAAATTCAGTTCCCAGCACTCACATGGATGGTTCACAACTGCTTCTAACTTCGGTTCCAGGACATCTGATGCCCTCTTTTGGCCTCTGTGAGTACTGAGAAAAATAAAGGAGTTTCTTTCTGCCCTTAAAGAATATATAACATTTATGTGCATAAAATGGAGAGGCAAGATTTGTGTTGCACTGAGTCCATCCTGAGTGCTAGGATTAAAGGCACGTGGCACCATGGCAGGCAGAAAGAATTGTTTTGAACAAAGAGTGATATGCTTCTTTCTCAGGGATTAGAAGAAAGAAGATCAACATAAGTTGAGATATACAACTTTGTGCTGAGTGATGAGGGCAATAACTGAGCTCATAACTGATGAGTCAAGACCATTTATCTGGGATGAAAGTATGAACTTTGAAATTGCAAAAATTAAGGATTTTCTTTCTTCTTTAGAGAATATAAAACATTTATGGACATGGAATGGAGAGGCAAGATATGTGATGGATTGTTTACTAGAAAAAAATGTGGTCATTTAGAACCAATCATTAGATAATAGGAAAAGAATTGATGTGCCTAAAACTCATAGAAGTAGTGATGCAATACTTTTGAATTTATCTAAGAAAGGCCTAACAAGAGAGGGTATGTTTTGAATTTAATCTTCTAAGAGTGAGCAATCGCCACCCCCCACAAGCTGAGAGAAGAGAAGAAAGACAATCTTTTGTGTTTTTTTCCTCCAAAACCAGAGTGATATGCAAGGATTAAAACTTCCTGTGGCCCAGCACATGTTTATGGAAGAGTT